TACTTAATATTTTCCCAGTAGACCCCATGGGCCTCAAGGGGGATTTTATATACCTTTAATGAGTCTATAAGTTATAATGTCAGCGGTAGAAACATCCATGCCAGCTGATTCTCTTGTTTTCCCTGTGAGGTGGTCGCATAGGGCTGCAATGGAGGACAGGAAGGTGCTTGTGTCTGCAAGTGCTTCCCCTTGGTGCTCTTGTTCCTGTTTCCCTATACACTAAGAGGTTGGCCATTAGCGTGGAATTTAGACTTGCATTGCTTGGCAAAATGACCGGGTTTTCCGCATCGGTAACAGCTTCCCACTACAGGCACAGCTCTCCGTTTCTGGTGTGTTCTCCATGAGTTGGACCTATGGGGACAATTTGCTTTCTTGTGGCCTAGTTGCCCACATCCATAACATTGGTATGACCTTATAGTAGTTGCCAAGGAATCAGCTAACAAATCAGCAAACATTTTATAGGATACAGTACCAACTTCAGCACATGCATCAATCATTTCATTCAAGGATGGATCTTTTCTTTGTAATAGGTCTATAGCTTTCTTGCAGTCTTCATTTGCATTGTCTCGTGCCAGTGACAATATCAACAGATTTTTTGCATCATTATTTACTATTTGCTTTTCCACTGCATCTTGTAATCGTTTTATAAATTGCATATAAGGCTCTTTGGGGCCCTGCTTAATTTTTGCAAAAGCCTGAGTTGGTGTTGCCAATCCCATGCTTCCCACTTTCATCAGGGCCTGCATTCCTATATCTGTTGCCTGCGCCAATATCAAAGGATTTAGGCGTGCTTGCAACCGTGGGTTACTTACAGGAGGCAATCCCAGAAGTTGAGGGACCCCTACTGCAGAGCATGGATCTTGCTGTGGCAGTGCTAAATTATGCAGCCCTTGCTTTTCCGCATGTTGCTTCCAGGTGGACTCAAACACCAGGTATTCCATCGGGGTACAGAGCAACTGTGCTATTTGCTTGATATCAAAGGGTGTCATTTCACATTCAGTTAGAAGCCGTAACATCCTTGCTACGACTGGAGACCCCAGTCCATGTTGGGTGGCTAGTTGGCGTAACTGGGAGAGAATTTTAAAGGCAACATGTATATAGGGCGCATTTTGTGGCTCTTGGTCACCTGAGAACCGTGGTGATTGAGGTAAAGAAATTCGTTCAGCAACTTCATAATCTCCACTAACAAGTGCTATGAATTTCATCTGTTGCCAAAAGCTAACTGGATTGTATGCTGAGATAGTAGCCCCAGTCGTCCCACTCACAGGCTCTTGGCCACTCAAGAACAGCCGGGGCATTGGTACAGAAAGTCGTTCAGCAATTTCGAGATCCCCACTAGCAAATGCCTCTAATTTATAATGCTGCCAAGATCTAACTCGATCATATCCTGAGATAGTAGCTGATACTGGTTGCATGGCAAAAACATCCTCCTCACGGCCAGCAGGGGGACGACAACTTGGGCTTCCCCTGTTAGGATCCCACAGATCTGTTAATGGAGGGGCTTCCTTGGGCCTCTTAGGCTTTGGCTGTGGACACGGTGGGACGTGGTGTCCTGCCACTCCGGGTGTTGGCAGCTCCCTGGTGGAACTCTCAGCGCCAAGCGCCACTTGGCTCCCGGCTCCTGTTTCCATGCCAAGGTTGTGATTGGGCCTATCACGCACTGGCGGAGCCGTCAGCAGAAGTTTATCATCACTGCAGTCATCCTCAGGCAGAGGAGAAGAGAATGGGTTTGTGGTAACCATGGGAGCCACTCGGCTCCCGGCTCCTTTGTCCTTGCCGAGGTTGTGATTGGGCCTATCACGCACTGGTGGGGCCGTCAGCAGAAGTTTATCATCACTGCAGTCATCTTTAGGCAGAGGAGAAGAGAATGGGTTTGTGGTAACCAGGGGTGCAGGTGCACACGGCACAGGCAGAGTTGCAGGGATAGGAGGCATGGATGATGGCTGCTGCACTTCTAGTTTCTCGCCCGTCCTTTCCATCTGCGAACTTGATGTGGCACCTACTCGCCCAACCGCTCCCTTTTGAACTTCAGTATCACTGGGCGTCTTGGCACATGGTGCCTGTGGTGCCTCAGCTGCTGTTTTTGCATTTTGCTCAGGTTTCACCAGTTTCAAGGTATCCAGCACCAGCCTCCAGGTAGTCATAATATTTTTAGCAGTCTCATCGCCACGAGAGGCTGAATCAAAAATCAATTCACCAGCCCGTTCCCAGTTTTTACTGATAAATGCAGTTTCTATGGTGGCATCTACTCCATGGTTGCGACACCACTGCAATAAAGCACGGAGTGCCTTTTTATCACATTTTATCCCACGATGGCCCAACATAGCGGTCCATATATTCACTATAGCTTTTTCTTCAGTTGACACTAGAGCTTTTTCTTTGGTTGACACTAGAGCTCCCATTGTCACCAGAGGCTCACCTTCTTAATTGCAAGTCCAGACCTTTGCAGCTCTCCACACTTCAGAGTATACTCCTTCACACTCTGGTGTCTCCTGATTCAGAGGATTCTGGACGGTTCACTCTGAGAGAAAGCAGGAGCTGGGACTCTCTGAGCTACCACCCTGTGAAAGGGCGTTGAGGCCAGGTGGGCAGCCCTGTTAAAGTCACAC